CGAGGTGTGAGTGCGTGAGCGTCGCGGGCGCGGCGCGGCAGGGAAGAAAACCAGAGCCCCACGAAACGTGTGCGGAACAAGCCTATCAAAGACCAGCGTGGCCAAGGATGCCCTAGATGGCCGCAAGCTGGCCAGGCGAGACCCCCCAAGGACCACGCGAGCGGGCCCAACAGGGCTCGCGACGAAATAACCTCGAGAGGCAGGGTAATTTTTCAAACGGTCGGCTTCGAGAGCGTCTCAAGAGGGCCATCGGGAAACCGTGAGTCTTTGAAGATTTCGCTGCTTCGCTTCACCGCCCCCGCCCGCCGCCGGTGGAGGTCGAGGAGGCGGCGGCCGCGGAGGCGGCCGGGGCCCCCCCAGGCCCACCTCCCGCGGCCCCTGGCCCGGTCGAGGTGGGCGCCCTCCCTCCCGGGGCGCCCCCGGTGGAGGTCGAGGAGACGGCGGCCGCGGTGGCGGCCGCGGGTCCGCCGGCGGTGGAGCTGGCGGCGGCGCGGCTTAATACCCTCCCTCCCATGGGCGCCCCCGGTGGAGGTCGCGGCGGCGGCGCGCGTGCACCGCCTGGCCTTGGTGCGCGCGTTGGCGCTGGCCCGCGGCCGCCCCGCCGAGGTCGCGCCGGCTGGGCCGTTGCGCCCCCCCGCCGGGGGGGGGTGCCGGCAGCTCCAGCGTCGGCTCGACGCGGCGCTTTGCGGACAGCCAGTCCCGGAGCTCGCGGAGCTCATGCTGGGGCAGATGGCCGCCAGCATCGGCGCCGCTGGAAGGCCATGGGCCGACGGCCGGCGGCTGGCGGCCACGGCGGGGGCGCCCTCGCGGCGGCCCGCGCTGTCCGATTGCTGCGGGCCCGCCTCGGCGCTGAGCGGGCGCCCGGCGGGCGGGCGGCTTTGCCCTCCCTTCCCTTCCACAGAGTTCCTCCGCGCATGCGAAAAAGTGTCGAGACGTTGACCTGCGTTGCGCCAGGACCTAAGCGCGCGAAGCGCGCGTGACCCTTGATCTTTCAAAATCCCGATCCCAGCCGCCGCCCACCGCCCGCCGCCCGCCGCCCGCCCTCTCCTTTACCCGACTCCTCCCGTCTCCAACACGCCCAGACATTCAACCGCCTCCGCATCCATCACAATACCCAGATAATCGACTGCCTCCGTTTCCAACAGAACACCCAGGTACTCAAGAGCCGCGTCTCCAACGCGCCAGCAGGTACTCAACAGCCCCCCTCCGCAAGACACCATCCTTCAGTTTTCTATTCAAATCCCGATCCCGCCCGCCGCCCGCCGCGAACCTTTCATTGTACTCAACTCTTTCCGCCGCCAACGCAACGCCAAGATACTCAACCGCCTCCGTCTCCATCACAACACCCAGATACTCCGTTTCCAGCGCGCCATGCGGCACTCAACAGGCCCACGCAGCACGACGCTATCCTTAGAAGTTCTACCCACATATCGCCCCCCGCCTGCCGCTTGCACTCCCCTTGTACTCAACTTTGTCCGCCCCCGGCACAACAATACCAAGACACTCAACCTCCTCCATCTTCAGCACAACACCCAGCTACTCCAATACAACCCCGGGTAGTCAACAGGCCCCCGCTGCAAGCCACCATCGTGAGGAGTTCGATCGACATCCCCATCCCGCCCGTTGCACGCCCAGATACTGAACGGCCTCCGTCTCCATCACAACACCCAAACACTCAGCAGTTTCCGTCTTCCTCACCATTCGGTACTCAAACAGGCCCCCGCTGCAATACACCATCCTTGGGAGTTCCCATTCAAATCCCGATCCCGCCCGCCGCCCGCCGTTCGCCCTCACATTGTACTCAAGTCCTTCCCCTTCCAACGCAACACCAAGATACTCAACCGCCTCCGCCTCCCACGCAACGCCCAGATCTTCGACAACCTCCGTTTCAACACACCACGAAGTACTCAACAAACCCACGCTGCAAGACCCCATCCTTAGAAGTTCTAGTCAACTCCCGATCCCGCCCGCCGCCCACCTGCCGCCTGCCGCCCGTCCTCCCCTTGTACTCGACTCCGCCAGTCCCCAGATCACCCAGATACTCAACCGCCTCCGTCTCCATTGCAACACCCAGATACTCAACCCTTGTTCTGTAGCAGCAGCAGCCCCAACAATCACCCCTGAAGGTGGGCTCCAGGGGGGGAAGCATCCCTAACCCCCCCTTCAACAACCTTCTCCTCAGAGCGGGGTTCCGGGAGGAACACGTCCCGCACCACTGTTAAACCTCAGAATTTATCCGCGAGGGGAAGGGTCCGAGAGAGGACTTCCTAACTCCCTTAACCCCTCCAAAATCATTATCCGAAGGGGGGTCCAGAGGGAAAACACCCCACCCAGCCCAAACAAAAGATAGTGTGAAGGGGTGACCTGCGAGGGAAGCATATTCTTGACGCTTCGCGTATCCCCACCAGTCCAAGCTCGCGTCCCGGAATTTGCTCTCGCCGCCTGACCGTTGTTTCGCGGCCGCGACCGAAAACAATATCACCACCAGTTGCGGCCCGCCCCGGTTCGTCTCTCCTCCCGCTGCTCTCTTGTTGTCTGTCTTTTTCTCATTCTCGTGTGCTTAGGCTCTTGCTTGTTAGCTGTAACTTTGGACGGCGCGCGGCCCTTCCGTTTGCGCTCGCGAACAAAAGCATCCCCACCAGCCCATCCAGAAACGATGCCATGAGAGTTGATGGGGGGAGAGAGGAAGAGGCGCGCATAGTCAAACAATGACGGAGGTTCGGGAGGCTCTGTGGCCATCTCGAGCCGTTTTGGAGCGGTCTTGGGGCCGCTTGGAGCATCCTGGGATGGTCAAAACCACCATTGGCTTAAGTTGGGCGTGTCCCTCTACATGAGGAATACACAAATAGTAAAGTAGTCTGGGGATGATCTTTTGACCATGATTGATTATTTTTGGAGTGTTTCTGTTGAGCCAACTTGGGCTATCTGAGCCATCTTGGAGGTCATCCTGGGCTATCTGAGGCTGCTCTGGAGCCTCTTGGGTGTTTTTGTTTTCGGGTGTTCTTGGAACCCTATTGGGGCCTTTTGAAGCGTTTTTGGAGCCTTCTTCGGGGCCTCCTGGTGGCCCTGGAGGGCCTCTTGGGGCCATCTTGGAGGCGGTCGGTCAAGAGAGGGGGGGTACTCGATTCCCGCGCGAGGGGTGTCAGAAATTGCCCCCCCCCTGGGGCCGAAAAAGGGGCCCTCTGACACATCGCCCCCCCTCCCAACAAAAAAAACCCGGGAGGGGATGGGGCTCCCTTTCCCGAAGGGACGAGGGGTTGGTGAACAGGAAAGAATCCCTCGTTAGACCACCTGTCGCCCACAGGGCTGGTGGGACTACAGGGTCCGGCTTGATTAAGGAACGCTTACTTTTCAAAAAGAGCTCGGTCGTTCCTTTGGTGTGCATGGTGTTCCTGCAGACTTCCTAGACTTTTACTTGGGCAAAAAGGAGCTTCGATTCTGATTTCTCGTTCCTGAAGCCAGGCCGAATACTATAGTACGGGGCCCGAGCCTGTTCGAACATCCGAGGCGTTGGATTCTTCGGCCCACTCGGCGGCGCGGGCGCAGGCGATGCTGCTGGACCTGAGCGTCGGGGCGGGGCGGAGGGCCAGTCAGGACGCCTGGCCCTGCACCGTCGCTCCCTGCTGGCAGGGCGGGCGGGGGGCGGCACGCGCGGGAGGGCGAGGAGGGGGGCGGGGAGCCACGCAGGACGAGAAGGGGGAGGCTGCTTGGTCGGGTTGCCTGGGGCCGGATGGGGGGAGGGAGCGAGAGATGGAGGAGGGAGGAGGGAGGAGGGGGAGGAAGAAGAGGAGGAGGAGGAGGAGGAGGAGGAGAGAGGAGAGAGGAGGAGGAGAGAGGAGAGAGGATGGGAGGAGGCGGAGAGGCCAGAGAGGGAAGGAGAGACGGAGGGAGGGAAGGAGGAGGAGTAGGAGGAGGACCAGGGAGGATGAGGGAGGAGGGAATCATGAGGAAGAGGAGGGGGAAGCGAACGGATGAGGAAGAGCAGGTGTGTGGAGGCCCCCATTGGGGGCTGCCTCCACATCAGCGAAAAGGAAAGAGTAAGAGCAGGAGGATAATTGCGCCTTGGACTGTGCCATTGTCTCCGGGCCTACGGCCGCCTGAACACCTTCGGAGGAGCAGGGAGGAGGAGCAAGGAGGACGAGGAGGGGGGGAAGGAAGACTGATGAGGAGGGAGGATGGGAGGGAAGGAAGGAGGATGAGGAGGGAGAATGAGGATGAGGATGAGGATGCGGAGGGGGGGAGAGGATGGGAAGGAAGGAAGGAGCAGGAAGACTTAGGCTGAGGCTTGGAGCAGGAGGATCAAGCGGGTCTTACGCTATCTTTCTCAGTTCTATTCCGGGGGGGGCTCGCGGGCACATTGCTCTCTCCTCTTTCATCCTCCCGTTCTGTCGTTTTTTCTCCTCCACACTTCCTTGTGTTCCGTCTTCGGACTCGAAGTCATGATTCCGCATAGCATGTCTGGGTGGCCCTCATTGACCTGTCCCCGCCACGCCGCCTATGGCAAGCTGGGGGGTGGCGAAGAAAAGGAGGAATGGGGGAGGGACAGGGGGAGGTAATAGGACGAGGACAGCCAAGAAAAGGATGATAGGAAAGATGGTGATCGGTCAGATTTGGTGAGGGTGGAGGAACTGGAATGGAGGAGCAGGGACAGGCTGGGGGAGGGGGATGGTAGGAAGAGAGAGGAGGACGGAGGAGGGAGGATCAGGGGGAGAACATGTGAGGGCTGAGGAATTAGAGATGAGGATCGGGATGGGGTTGACAATTGTGCTGTCCTGTCGCCGTCCTCGTCTTCCTGTCCGTCCCCCGTACTTGCGGACCGGCATTCGACATGAATTCAGCGCAGACGCAACCAATGAGAGGAGGAGGAGGAGGAGGAGGAGGAGGAGGAGGAGGAGGAGGCAAGCGCGAACAAGACGTGCGCCCACCGCACGACGTACATAGCATTTTTTGGCTCGGGTGAGGTCCCCAGCGCCGCGGGCTGGGGCACAGCCCGGCGCGGGATGGCCGGGCACGCCGTGGCAGACGCCGCCATTTCCGTGGCAGCCGTGCTCCCAGACGCGGACGGCCACAGCAGCAGGGCCTTGGACTACCTCCTCTCGCACACGCCCGGCTGGCTCGTGGCGCTGTGGCTCGTGGGAGGGTGCTGCACCGCCTGCACGGTGCTCGTCTCCTACAGGCAGACCCTGGAGCACGTGCGGGCCGGCAGGGAGAGCGGCTACGGCGGGAACCCCTTCGCGTCCTTCTCCTTTGGCCCGCGCGCCAGCCGCATGCTGCACCTGCTGCTCATGCCGCCCATGCTCTCCGTCTCCGCCGTCTTCCAGATGGTGCTGCCGAGCGCGGAGCCGCTGTGCTCGCTGCTGCGCACGGTCCAGGTGTCGCTGGCGGTCCTGCGGCTCGCCGAGCTGCTGTTCATCCTGGCGGGCGGCTGGACCCGGCTGCAGGCGCGCCTGCCGAAGGAGCCCGTGAAGGCTTTCGGGCAGCCGCCGCTGTGCTGCTTCGTCTGTTCCAAGGTGGTCACCGAGGACGACATCCGTATGATGACGGCTGGAATCCGGCAGTTCAGTTGGAGCGCGCCGCTGTTGGGAACGATCGACGCCTATTTCCAGGCGGTGCAGCCAGATCACCAGGGGATGATCAGATCCGTCCTGGTCGCGCTGGTTGCCGTCACGACCGTGACAGGGATGTGGTCGTTCAACAATTTATACGCCCTGCTCACCCGCGCCCTGGGCTCGGGCGAGGGCACGCAGAAAGACCGCCAGGCGTTTGTCACCATCCGAAGAATAAAACATTGCATGAAACGTTGCCTGCGGAGGTTCGCGCGAATGTCTCGCTGGTCGGCGCTGGACCCCCCCGCCGTAGCGCCTCGGGCGCCGCCCCCTGTTGCGCCAGGGGAGGGCGGACTGTCCAGAGCGATGCTAAGAAATCCGCGCGGGCCTCCAGAAGATTACACGTCGGTCGTTGAACGCAGGTTTTTGGGGAGTCCCAGATCTCAATCTACTTCGAGCGCCTTCCTACTTCAAGAATCCACATGCTTATGCTGTGGGTCGGTGTTCTCTGGGAGGGCCTCGGCCAAATCTACTTTTTCTGCATTCCTGCTTTGTGGTTTTTCCTGCTTGTTCCGACCGACGTGTACGAATTTTTGTGCGGTTGTTTGTTTTTCTGGCCATGCAAATGGTGTCCGTCAAGCTGGTGTCCCTGATACTTCGCGGCGTCCTCCCCAAAGACGGGTACACCAACGGCCGCTACTGGACGATGCTCGGGCCGGGCGAAAGGGGGGGATTGGGAAAGGGGGGGTTACGAAATTTGCTGCATGCAGCTGGTTTCGGCCTCACCGAGGGTCCCACTCCTCGATATATAGCCGCCTCCGGCGCCGGGAGGCGCCGGGAAAATCAGCTACGCGAGCTGATTCTCAAACCTTCCCTTTGCTATCCCCCCCTTTCGCCCGACCCGAGATGCCCCGGGACGACTTGTCTGCCGTCATCTCGGGAGGAGGCAGTTGCACCCACTGCCGCGGGCCCAGTTCCAGCCTAGATCTTGGCGGACACGGCAGATGCGCGCCGCGTCGACGCAGCGGCGACCCCAGCGCGCGCTGTCCAGGTCGAACGCCGCCTGTGATCGGGAATGGGCCGTCATCACGCGATCTGCGCCATCGGAAAGCCACGGCCGGTCAGAGCAGAGCGAACCATGCGGTGTAGCAGAACCAACGCCCACATCACTACGACCCGACGAATCTGCCGCACCAAGATCTACAATACCAATTTGCTGTTGTGGGGGCCCTGCGGCGAGGGATTCGACGCTGAGCACCGATGTTTGCGAGAGGGCATCGTTCGGACAGCAACTCTCCTCCGCGGGCGGGGTCCTGACCGGTTTCAGCACTGCAAGAGCTTTGGTCTGCCTGCGGTCAGGGGGCTGCCGGTGCTCAGCCATGGCAGCAGGCAGCGCTACAGAAAGATCTAAACCGTGATTCACCAGCCGACAGGTGGGCATTGTTACAATGCCGTTTTTAGTACATGCTCCGCGTGCGGATCATGTATTAAAAAGTCAAGGATTTAGTATTAAAAACGATGAGTTCATGCATACATGTATTCATAAATTGGTCATGCATTAAAAATCATAAATAAAATTATTCACTGCGTGGGGATCCCCATATGTGCATCTCCTTGCTGGCGCTCCCTTGGTGGTGGGACTCGGTGAGGACGAATCTGGATTTAAGTGTGACTGAGCTGCCTCTCTCTCTCTCTCTCTGCTCTCTCTGTCTCTCTCTCTCTCTCTGCCCTCTCTCTGTCTCTGCCTCTCTTTCCCTGCCTCTCTCTCTCTCTGCCTCTCTCTCTGCCTCTCTCTCTGCCTCTCTCTCTCTCTCTGCCTCTCTCTCTCTCTGCCTCTCTCTCTGTGCCTCTCTCTCTCTGCCTCTATCTCTGCCTCTCTCTCTCTCTCTCTCTCTCTCTCTCTTCTCTCTATTCTCTCTCTGCTCTCTCCTCTCTCTCTCACTCTCCCTCTCTCTCTCTCTCGCTCTCTCTCTTCTCTTCTCTTCTCTTCTCTCTCTCTCTCTCTCTATCTCTCTCTCTCTCTCTCTTCTCTCTCTCTCTCTCTCTCTCTCTTCCCTCGCTCTCTCGCTCTCTCTTGCTCTCTCTCGCTCTCTGTCGCTCTCTCTCGCTCTCTCTCTCTCTCTCTCGCTCTCACTCGCTCTCTCTCGCTCTCTCTCGCTCTCCCTCGCTCTCTCCCGCTCTCTCTCTCTCTCTCTGCTCTCTCTCTCTCTCTCGTCTCTCGCTCTCTCTCTCTCTCTTTCTAGTAAGTTGTTACATGCCTCTCACGTTCCTCTCTCGGGGCCCTCTAGAGCTCACCGGGGGCCCGGCGAATTCACAGCCCGTACTGTAATGTACTGGCTCAAGACGCGTCATAGTTGTGTACTGTTCGAGCGATCGATACGGAAAACACAGCCCCACTGCATCCAGCCGCCATCGCTGCCGGGAGGAGAGGAGTTCTATCACGTGCCACTGCACGTGGTAGCGGAGCAGAGTTGCTCCCCCTCCCGCCGCCAGGCGACGGCACCGCTGCGAGCTCTTCACCTTCTTCGACATCAGCGTTGCGGGCATCAGCCTCGACAGCACAGAGTGCGAGAAAGAGGGCTTCGACAGCCAATTCAGTTATTCCTTAGTTTTTTGGTATCAGCTATGTTCGGCGGCAAGGGCGGACAGCCCCCAGTGCAGCAGGGCGGACCCCAACGGTTCATTCCTGGCCAACATCCTCAGCCTGACATGGCGAACACGAAGACGCCTCCCTCGTGGTCGCCGGAGTTCGAGGCCAGCTACCCGTTGTGGGTCTACGCTCAGGACCTGATATTGTGGAGCGCGGCCACAGAGGTACCCATTGCACGTCAGGGACCAGCCGCAGTTCTACAGCTCGGAGGCATGGCGAGGGTCTTGGGCAGAGAGATGAACGTGGATGAGTTATCAAATGGACGGCAAGAATGGGACTACGCACAGCAGCAGATGATACACGTGACGGGCATTACTATTCTGTTGCGGAATCTTTTACGACGTTTCGGCGAGCTGGACGAAGAACAGAGCATCAGACTTCTTTCTCAGTTGTTGGGCTTCAGCAGAATGCAAGGCGAATCGATAGATCAGGCACTCTCGAGGTTCGATATCACGGTGTACAGGGCGACGAACCTCTTGCAGAATTTCGCGCTGGGACCCCAAGGATTGGCGTGGATATTATTGCGAGCACTTAAAGTGGCGCCGGTCATGTGGTCTCAGCTACTCATTCCCCTGAACGGACAGCTCCCGACGACGGAAGACCAGATGAATATTCTCAAGCGGCACATCAGACAGCAGGCACATATTTTGGAACATCATCCGCACGGCGTACACTCGAATGCGGCACATCCTGGACAGCAGGCACATTTGTCATATTTCGGAAACGTGGAGCCGCCTCAGGCTGCGACGGCCTGGGGCGACGGCGCGGCCGCGGCAGCGGCCATGCCACATCAAGCAGCGTACCCCACGAGCGACCCGTACGCCAACACGCCAGATGAGCACTACACGTTTGAGGATTTCTTTGGCGATAGCGACGCGGAGTCGGACGAAGAGCAGCAGGGCCCAGAGTGCACGGACGAGGCGATAGAGGCATATGCATCGAGTCTCCTTCCCCCTGGAGTGCCGGCCAACAGGACGAATATCACGACGGTGTTGTATGAGACATACCTTAACATAAAGAAGCGTTATAGAGCCTACGCGAAGAGGACGACGAAGTTCAGACGGTTCAATCGGCGATACTACGGTCGGCGCTCGGGACAAGGCAAAGGAGGATTTCGGCGTCAATTCGGCAAGCCAAGCCACTTCCCCGTCGAAGAGCAGCAGGACCCCACGTACTTCAAGGGCGGAAAGGGGAAGGGCGGCGGCTTCCGTGGACACGGCAAGAACAGAAAGGACCCAGTCACAGGCGAAGTGATGAAGTGCCACGAGTGCGGCAGCGACGAGCACCTGCGGAGGCACTGCCCCAAGCTTCACCACCTGACGCAAGCGGCAGGTTCGGCATCGGCATCGGCAGCTCCCTCGGCAGGCGGACAGGATCAATCCATGGCACCCGGGCACATGAATATGATGCAGCAACATTTCTTTCATGCAGGATATCAGCATCAGCATCACGAACCCCACGAAGAGCCAGCGACGTATGCACCAGTATTGGAATGGTCTCAGATTGTCTCAGATGGCATGGGCATCCCGACGGACATCAACACGGACCACGGCACACACCAGGAGCGGCAGTTGCAGGAGTTGATGACCAGGAGCTTCAATCCCCAACAGCCTCAGCAGGCAATCGCGGCAGAACATCAACATACATCGATCTTGCAGCAGCTTCGCATCCTGGATCAGACAGCGAATGACGGAGAGCAGATATCAGCGAGATTCTTTCCCTGGTGGAACCTGGACGTGGAGCTGGACGAGAGCAGCAGTTTCAACACGGCGAACCTGAACGACGAGCAGATCTTCCTCCTCAGGACGAAGTTGCCAGGCGAAGGACGGGAAGGACTTCTGGTGGACACCGGCGCACGCGACAACCTGGTGGGCAACCTGTTCATCAAGTGCGTCCTGAACATCTTGAGCGAGCAAGGCATGATGGACAAGGTGAAGTGGCAAAAGCTTTCCAAGCCCATCAACGTGTCAGGTGTCGGCAAGGAGAGCCAGCTCGTCGAGTGGGCCATCACGATTCCCCTAAAGGTCATCGCGAACGACGTGAAGAGCGACACTACCTGCACGGCCCCAGTCGTCGGCACCGAGGAGGATCCATCTACAGTACCAGCGTTGTGGGGCATCAAGTCTATGCGACATCAGCGGGCAGTCATCGACCTGGTCAATTACGAGATACATCTATGCGGGCCAGTCCGAGTATACATCAACACACCTCATGGCACTTCTACGTTGAAGATCGAGAGCAGCATGAGTGGACACCCGCTGGTACCATGCACGGAGTTCGACAAGCACAAGAGGAAGGTCACCTTCAAGGCGGAGCCGCAGTACGCGACGGAGCACCAGAGCGACGTCGCGGCCAGGACCTCCCACTAGGGAGTCGGCCGCTCGGCGGTGCGTCCCGCCGAGGCTCCCCGGAGGGAGCAAGCCGTCGTCAAGACGCACGGCAACACCCCAATTCTATCTCTGCCAAGATCTCCTTCCCCCGTGCATGACAATTCTGCACCCGCAATTTGGATCATTGACGACGTTGACAGCCAACGAAGTTATGCATGTAGTCAGCGCTTCAAGGTCCAGCTCTACAATCATAGTTCACGGCGCACCACGGCGAACAGCAGCAATCACATGCAGGCGTTATTGCATCAACATCGGCCAGTTCTGTTGTGGGTATGCGTTCCAGGACCTCCTGCGACAGGACAGTTTACGAGATCGCATCGGCGACGACTCCAGCTTATCAGCCAGCTCAGCGAGCAGCAGATATCACTACAACGATCGGTTCTTCTTGAGGCTAACGAGCGCGTGCAGGCAGTTTGGCGACAGCACCACTTCAGCGACTTCATCGGCAAGCAGCACGAGGGCGGCAGCCTGGAGACTACCATGGTGCGGCTTCAGGATGGCAGTCACACCTCGACCATCCGCCTGGAGGCCAACTTTGATTTGGGCGCCCCGGGCATGATCGACTACGCGGAGGCACCGGCGGCAGTCGCGAGCCTCCTTGATTTGTTGTTCAAGACAGAGCACAAGCCTTCACGAGAGCAAGTTGTTACACCACCGACGGCTACATCGGTATC